TGCGACATACCACTGGTCTCCTGTAGGGTGCAGAAATCTACGTAGTGACAAAACCAATTTGGAAAATAAAGCTGGTGGAATCATGGCATCTGGTTTCAGTGTACTAATCTTCTGCTTAAAGTCATCCAAACCCAGACCAACGGAAGGTAACGTGTCCTGGATGCTGAGCAGAGTATGAAGTTCTCTCTCTTCCAGACCTGGAAGTTGAGTGAAACAATTATTTTCGCTCAGAGAAATAAAAGAAACACAAGTAAGAATATTAAACATCATTAATTATGTCAATTAACTGTGATATATTTTACAAAAAAAAACTAACTCAAGCAATTGTATTTATCAAAGGCAAGACATTAAAAAACATATATTGAAACAAATGTGACATACCTACTTCTGTAATCCTACATACTATCTGAATAAACCATATTAGGCCCATAACTAGTGTGTGATCTTGAGTGGATTAATCTGATTATGATATAAATTATTCATATCTATTTTTCATCTTTACATTAACTTAAAATCTAATTATATTTCAGTCATTTATATTTATATATTAGCATGTTTGATGTATACATGTGTATGTATTTCTGTTTACATAAAGTTCATATTTCAATGTTAAAGCCTTTGATCCTGTATCTCAGACTTTTTATGGGGACATCTGAAATTACTTAGTTTCAAAAAATTTGATCTGAATCAAGAGCACCAAATCATATATAAAATAAAAGCTATAATTGAAATGTTCAGATTCCGAATTTCGTTTCCATGCATATCTTATAAATGTCTGTTTGTAATGAAAAAAATAAGCTGCTATCCCTAATTTTGATTCCCTCTCAATCATAATTTTCATTTTTGGGAGTAGAAATATTTAAACTTATCACCTACATAGATAAAATCTTGTCAAATAACTTTGAAAAGGTGAATTTTTGAAGTTGATTGTTTTGTAAACTGTAAAAGTCAACTGACTGCATTTTTATTTTAGATCTTCCAAGTTTTAAAGCTAACAAAATCATAAATATATGATCTGACGGCTGGGAGTATTTCTTCTTCACAACGTAGATGTTATAGATTTCCTTTCTTCCTAATATGGTTTGTTTTGTTTTGAATTTTGCGCAAAGCTACACGAGGGCTATCTGTCCCTAATTTAGCAGTGTAAGACTAGAGGGAAGGCAGCTAGTCATTGTCACCCACAGCCAACTCTTGGGCTACCCTTTTACCAATAAATAGTGGGATTGATCATCACAATATAACCCATCCACAGCTGAAAGAGCGAGCATGTTTGATAGGACGAGGATTTGAACCCATGATCCTTATATGAAATGTCAATTTATGAAATTTTAGTCGTTATGTGAGAACCTTTTGTTGCTAATATACATTCAAATAGTCTAAATATAACATGGTTTTGCATTTTCTGTAGGTTATGTACAGGTAATAGAATTTTTTATTTCTTTTCCTGCTTTTTTTTGTTTATTTTGATCAAGTAACTAATTTGACAATTCCTTTTTTCTTTCAGACTCTTCTGATTATAATTTGAAATTGTGGAATCTCACAGTGGACTTCACCTCAGCATCAACTTAAAAGGTTAGTAGAGATCTTTTGGGAATACAGGGATAACTTTTATACAAAATAAGATATAGTAATATTACTTTTAATGACACATATTAAAGCTATTATATTGCAAAATGTCTTTTGAAAAAGTTGGCAAGTGCATTAGATCACGAGTTCTCAAACTGGGGCCACACAAGAATGTTAGGGAAGCTATAGCAAATACACAATACCATTAAGTTATTCATTATCTATAGATTTATATGGTGAGGGGGTCTCAGTCAAAATGCATAATGTTTTGGGGGGGATCAGGCCTTGTGCTGAGAAAATTTGAGAACCCCTGATTATGCCTGTGATTGTATTACTGCTAATAAGCATATGTAAAATAAAGCTTTCAGATTAATGATTATCAGCCTGTTGCAAAATGGTATAATATAGAGCTATGTCAAATAATGGTTTTTATTACACTTTAAATTGTAAAATTATCATGAGAATTTAAGTTAGGTTCAAACATAGTCAATGGTTATCATGTTTCATATGTCTGTTTTTCAGATATGATATTGCTTATGGGTTATAAATTTTTACAAATGTAAATGTAGAATTGGCCAGAATAATGCCTCCTGGCTGGAGTGTGTTGATGATGTTTCACATAACTAATGAAGTTTTTCAATCAGTAAAAATAGCAAAGTAACATATTAACTACATACTAGCTTAATTATAAAAAAATATGTAAGATACTGTAGTTCTGACCATAAGGTGTTAATGCCAAGTACAGAAAAGCCATCTGAACCAGCTGAAGACCATGTTCTTTCTCTATATTCTGTACCATTTCTTGTAATAATGATGGTAATGTTTGAGGCAAGCTTCTTAACTGGGCAGTAAGCTAGGAAAATAAATACAACAGTAAATGTACATCCTTCTCAGATTGACATAAACAAGAAAACAGAATGCCCTTAATGACTGTAGTTGTACTTTTAACCATATGTGTGAGTATATATATATATATATAAATGAACAAAATCAAGACCCAAAACCAAAAATTAAATTATGCTGCATAAATGAAAAGGGTTTTGGAGGTGACTGTGGAAGTTCTACTATATTGGTGGCTGGAATGCCAACCTCAGGGTAAGTTTATGTTACTTCGCCCCCCCCCCCCCAACGGGGTAGTACCTTACTCAGGAGGTAAGTTTATATTACTTACCCCCCCCCCCAAGAGGTAGTACCTTATTTCTTTTAATTAATTAATTTTTTTCTTCTACTTTTGAGAGCAGTCACCTTCCCACAACTGTCTGCAGACAGTGAAGGGTGATATAGATGTGGAGCTTGAGCTCCCACATCTTGCTCTCCTAATTTCTAATTATTTTGATTATTTGATTTTATTTTTACAAATTTCTTTATGCGAGACTGGCTAATGGAGGTTAAGACTGACAGACAATGTATCCACACCACAATGTGGGTCCTTTTTTCACAGTCACCTCCAAAACCCAAGGCACATTTTATATCCCACATTATAGTCTGCACCTTTAATTTATGTAGTGACTTCAACTGAATTTTTGTTTGGTCTTGTTTTTGTTCATTTAAATGTCATTTATCAAAGGTTTGGAGTTGCTGTTTTTAATGCAGTCCTTCCTTTTGATTTGATTTTGCTTGATTGTTTAAGTATTAATTTTCTATATATATATGCTTACTTCACAGTATTTTCTTAACTCCTCCACTCCCAAACTATGTAACCTTTGTTTTAGCTTTCAAGAGCATGATATTAACCACATCTAAGCTTGGAAGAAAGGGCATTCCCCTTCAAATTTCCCAAAGTTTACCAATTTCAATTTTCTTGTTTTTTTTATTGTGTATCTAGAAGTAAGCCTAACACTTGGACAGTTGTTTATCTATAAAATTGGAAGTGAAATAGTTATGAAATTACATAGATCCACAGTTCAGTCCATAATGCTAGTGCTTCAACCTCTTGTAAACACTCATTTTAAATCACCTGTGATGTGTAAGTTTGACTAAAAATATATTAAAAACATACATTTACAAATAAAAACTTATTACTAAGACCTAAAAGATAGACTAAAACTTTGTTACTGCAAAATAAAAGTTGGAATTTCTTTGTTTGCTTCAGTTCCTATGTATATACCTTCCCATTTCAGAGTAAATTAGTATAAATCTTTTGCAGCATATCCTCGACTTTTCGGCAAATTATGGCCATGTAATTTGGGATATGTACTTCAACCTCATATGAAAATCTTGACTTTCTTATTCACTGAAGCCCATTCTTCACAGCTTTTTGGTTACGTAGCTAAACTATATCTATAATTTACTGTTTTTCTCTAATTCTTAGTTATAGCCATAACAAACTACTAAAACGTTATGGGAAAATGGTTCATCTATATATTAAGTTAAATGTCCAAAGGCAATCTATACCTAACTATAATAAACCACAATATATGGTTCAGGTGTGAAGGATCTGAATCACTGGGATATTTCTAGACAAAAACATTGGTTTATCAGATAAGGAGAAACTATAAATTAGTGTTTATTTTACATCTCAAAGCAATGAAGTAATTAAATTTTGATCATTAAATGTTTCACACATAGAAGATATCTATGCATTTTCTACTACTTTTTATCAAAACAGAAATGTACACACTTTTAACCCTAAAACTTTATAATTAAATTGATAAAATAGCTATAAATGATAACTTTAGACACAATTTTAGTATCTCTTAAGTTTGTTAAAATTTTACCCATAAAAGTATAGTTATTTTAACCCTAACAGTAAACTTTAGGGTGTCTATAAAAATTTTATGCCACTTACATTTTCATAACCTCCAAAAGCTCGGAGCTCCTCACAGGCTAAGGAGAGATACAAAGGCTGAGATGCATCACTCTTACTGACCAGTAGTAGCATTTGATTATTAAATGGGCTTTCATCCAGGGACTTGCGATACGGCTCAAGTAGCATAGTAACAACACTTTTACGTTCTGACAAACAAAGCTGTTTCAGTGAAATGAACATTACAGAAGAACCTGCTTTCATTCTATCTAAAAAGGTGCAATATGTAGAAGAATCTTCTGATACACTACAGACTATTTTCACTCCCTGCCAAAACAAAAAGTCAGAGAAATGACATCAAAAACGTTTTAATTTTTTTAACAGGGACAAAATACATATCAAATGCTTCTTTCTGAGTTGTAATATTTCTTTCACACATCTATTCACAGATTAGTCCTATTTGAAAATAAGGATGAAACAAATGATGTATCATCGAAACGAACACTATCTTCACCTATCTATCTATGTGAATGTATTTATAATGTTTTTTTTTTATATTAGTTGACACTTAATATTGAAGTGCTAGTATTAAAAAACAAATTTAAAAATTGCAATCTGACTGCAAAAACATTAAATCTATTGGGTAAAGTTTGAAGATATAGATATTTACAGCACTTAAAATACATGTAGTGTTCACAAGCACACCCCTAATTGAACAGTTATTCAATACCAAAATTAAACAATTTGAAGGGATGATGGGTAGATTCTACATACAACAGATTAATCAATTTAAAACTATATCATTCTCTTTCAAATTTGATACTGTATTTTCTCTCTCTCTCTCTACAGGTAGTATAAAGTGCTTAACAAGCATTTGGTATCAACACATCCAAAATTTATTTGAAAAAAAACAACAACATGCTTACACAAATTGTGTATTGTATAACAATTTATTCAAATGTCTAGGCCAGTATAAGAAAGTCAAGGTAACTGTACACTTATACGTACTGCTGCACATTATATACTTCGCATAAAACCTGACATTAGCACCCGTCCTGTCATTGGTAATGAGTAAAAGTTTGATATGGACAAGACAATTTTTGTTTTTTTAACACATCTAAACAATTAAGTAAATATTTTCAAGGTAAATTTTATATTAATCATGGATCTCTTTAACAATTTAGTTCATGTTTTGCATGATTGTAAACAAAAACAAGTATCTGTAAAGATTTTTGACAATGACGACAAAAAATAAATACAGGGATTTTCAAATTATATTGCCCAATTAACTTATATTTTTTGCTAGGCAATACCTTAAGCATATAATCTTAATATAGTATTGTCAAACTTGAATAAAAGAGGGTAAGAGTGTTCTGTTATTTATCATCCTTAATCTAATCATTATTAATCTAAGTATAATACAGTAAACAATTTCATGTTGTTGTGGAAACAAGAGTATGTGTTTATTACCCACAACAGTTTGTTTTACAACCATGTAGTGAGATATAATGTTTTCATAAAATACTGTTTTTACATATTATCTCATGTTGTGGAAACAAGAGTGTGTGTTTATTACCCACAACAGTTTGTTTTACGTAAAAACAGTATTTTATGAAAACATTATATCTCACTACGTGGTTATATTATCTCATGTTGTGGAAACAAGAGTATGTGTTTATTACCCACAACAGTTTGTTTTACAACCACGTAGTGAGATATAATGTTTTCATAAAATACTGTTTTTACATACTATCTCATGTTGTGGAAACAAGAGTATACGTTTATTACCACAACAGTTTGTTTTACAACCACGTAGTGAGATATAATGTTTTCATAAAATACTGTTTTTACATATTATCTCATGTTGTTGAATATGAGTTTTGCTTGCAACTAATCAGCAGTTTCCCTTGCACTAGTTCAAGAGATTATGAAAATAATAGTAATGTTAGTGTATCATGACAAAGTATGAAATATATAGTTTTGCTGTGAAAATGTTGCATGTGTCATATTGTCAGTGTGTTGTGAAAAACTAAAAGTATGGTTTTATTATGGATTTCTTCATCACAAAATAATACTTTGCAACTCAATGTGTGTTTTGAAACTTACATGTGTCAGTAAATTTTTAGCTACTACAGATTAAAAATTCACACATTAACCACTATTCCACATTCAGCCTATAAAAAAAATCAATTAATTCAAGTAAAGTTTATATTTACTGTATAAAACTAACTTCTTGTGAGAAATTTAGTGAATAAACCTATGAGGTTGACTAAAGCAGAAATTTGCTTTATAAAATACAATTTACACTTCTTACAAGTAAAGTTTATATTTACTGTATAAAACTAACTTCTTGGGAGAAATTTGGTGAATAAATCTATGAGGTTGACTAAAGCAGAAATTTGCTTTATAAAATACAATTTACACTTCTTACAAGTAAAGTTTATATTTACTATATAAAACTAACTTCTTTGGAGAAATTTAGTGAATAAACCTATGAGGTTGACTAAAGCAGAAATTTGCTTTATAAAATATAATCTACACTTCTTACAAGTAAAGTTTATATTTACTGTATAAAACTAACTTCTTTGGAGA